AAAGATACTTAAATTAACATCTTCAAAGACTAAGATATAGCAGGGACCTGGAGTGTTATCAGCAGGCAGTTCCCTGGGTCTAAAGCAACCATGGGAACATTGCTAAGCACAGATTTATTTCCCAGGACAGGCAATTGTTTTAGAGCATGAAACGAGTTGCTCCCTGAACTACACAGGACAAAGGGAAACAAAGCAGGAAATTATTAGAAGGAGTAATAGTACAGCAAGACCTTGATCTTGTGATAAGCGTGGTACAAAAGTGCTCCCAATACCCAACTGGGCAGCAGTATCCAAATTCCTCAGGCTTCTTTACAGTATCAGCTCTCCAGCTCTGGAAGAACAAATAGCAGGGAAGATTTCTGAAGAGATGAAAATGGTACATTTTCAACAGCCAGAGATGATTACTCACAAAATAGCAACAGCACAGAGGTAACTGATTGCCTCCTGGGCAAAAGTCAAAGTCTTTGCATTGTAGCTATGAAAGGATACTGAGATCAAAGAGAAAAAGAAAAAACTCTATTTTAGGCTGTTGTGAGCAGAAAGGTCCTCCTAGCCCCTTGGCATCACCACATCCCAAGATACAGCTGAAATCTTTCTTCACGTGCCTGAGATAACAGCGCAGCAAGGAGCAGCCCTTTATTCCAGGAGCAGGGTGCAGCTCCTGCCCCATCCCCAGCTGAATTTTGGCAGCATCCATGGCAAACACCACCAATCCTCACTGCCATGGGCCTGGAGACATGATCACAGTGTGCCAGAGCCACTCTGAAATCAGAAATGAGATAAGCCAAACGCTGAGCGAGGTGTTATTAACAACACTTAGCCATTGATTGCGCGTTACATCTTCAAGCACTTTACCAACATTAATTAATTAAGGTGTTTTCCATTTAATGTGGGAAGGAGACTAAAGCAAAAACACGAGGCTGAACGGACCAAACACCTGATGCAGCATGGCAAGTCATCACCAGACTTCAGTTTTCCACACAGATATTGCTTTAAACCAAACTGCTGAAAATACAGGTGTAGGCTGGGCAAAGCCACGAAGCCAAAATCCCAGAGGTGCAGCCAGCATGGACAGGGGTCACAGCTAAGCATGGACCCACCACAGCAATGCTCTGCTGCATCCCTCTGTCATTACCAACATCCCACCTGGACCACTGGGCACGTCTCTTGTTCACAATCAATTCAACCAATACAAATTCAAACAAGGATTCCAACACGAGGGTGCTGACACACAGCTGCAGAGATGTTACTGAGTGCTGCCTGTAATTGCTGTGCTAAAAGCTGGGGACACGAAGTATTGATTTCCACCCTGATCTGCATCCAAGTTTAGACAGAGGCTGCAGCCAAAATACTTCTCCCAGCAAACTCACCGGTTAAAAGAGATTGTCAGGGCTGAGAGGTTTGAATGATTAACACTCACACTAAGGACTGGAACAATGTTCAAGTTCCATTCCTGCCTACCTACGCACACCCACCATCCTGCCCTCCCTCTTTGCAGAATTCTTTCAGTTTTGATTAAAATTACGGAAAAGAGGCCCTCAAAACATACCTTGTCATGGCAAAAATAGCACATTGTAGCAGAAAAAAAGTCTCAGAGTGCACAAAAGGGGCAGAGTTATTACCTCCAGCTGTCTCAAGCTGCACCATAATTACACAAATAACACATCTGACATACTCAGTATTAATTACCAACTGAGCGTGGCACAGAGACACACATTCACCTCCTTCCATACAGCTTGGGACTGACCTGGAGCAGCTGCCTGCAGCACTGTGATCGTGAGCTCCTTCCCACCACACGGAAGGAATCCTCCCCTGTCAGGGTGGGCAGGCCCTGGCACAGGCTGCCCAGAGAAGCTGTGGCTGCCCCATGACCCCTGGAAGTGTCCAAGGACAGGCTGGACGGGGATTGGGGCACCCTGGGATAGTGGAAGATGTCCCTGCCTGTGGCAGGGGGTTGGAACTGGGTAATCTTTGAAGTCTCTTCCAAACCAAACCATTCTGGGATTCTATAAGCAAAGGGACCTGATGATTCCACCACAGGCTTTTCCTCCTGGACCAAAGCAGACTCCCCTCCACACCCACCTGCCACCCGAGCACCACCAGCACCCCCCAAATCTGCACTTGCAGGCTGCCACCCTATTCCCCATCCTCCTGCCTGCCTTTAATATATTTGCATAAATCAAACAGCTTGGCAGCCCTCCTACTTCGGAGACACACAACAGCAGAGCTATTCAGAGATTCTTGTTTTCACCCCATCCTTCTGAATGTCGTCTCAAAATCCTTGAGGAAAAGCATATGGCTCACTATAGATATCTTGGGCCTGTCTACACAAACACAGAGTGATGTAGGGGAGCATTTATGGCAGCATATAAACAATAGTACCAAACTTAGGGAGGAAACACAAAGCAGAGTGAATCTGCTCGGTGGGTTTTGCAGAGATCAAGTACTCTCCCCCTTTTCCTTCCTAAACATGACAGACAAAACACTCTTTTAGATACAATTTTACACTTAACTGATTGACTTCTGTTACAACAGCAGTGGTACAGGGCTGGATGTATCACAGTGTTAATAACAGCTTGTTAAATTCATGGGGAAAGACAAAGACTCATTCAGAACCACAAGGCCACGGTGTCACACCTTGCTGCGGAAGCGTCCTTTCTCCTAACTCCTAGTCATCAGCATGCTGAGCCAAATTTCTCAACTTAGAGAGTGGGAAGATGGACCAAACCCTCCAGCATCTTCAGCTGCAGGTACCACTCTCCCACCCAGCTCAGGGTGGGGCCACCCTTCCCCCCCTCTATCACAGGGACCCTACAACTCCAAAGCACATGTAATCAGAGTTATAAGCAGAAACACGCAGGCTTTGAGGAACAGAGCACATTTCTTTGGCACCTTTACAGGCACCAACTGTTTTCCAGCATGCTGATAGTAAAGGAACACAAAGAGGAGTATTTTTCATCACTCAACAGATTAGAAGACCTCTGAGGAAAACAAAAAAGCCCTATCCTCAGAGAACACACCCCCCTGTCCCTTGCCAGGACACGCTGCAGAAACGTGCATCTCCCCCAGAAGTGTCCTGGAGAGGAAACGAAACCAAACACTGAACATGCACACAGGAATCAGTGTGAGCACGAGCAGCTGAAGCGTTTTACCTGCTTTCCTGGCTGCAAGCCTGCATTTCCACATGCATGCCCTGTACATCGTGTCACCATCTGCATTCCTGATGCCCCTGCTCCACAGGGGAGGATGGAGGCTGGCATCCTCCTTCTGCCCTTTCAGCAGATTTTTATAAAAGCAAGAGCCTCGGTAGCCTGGCTGTGGTGTACAGCAGAGGGTGGCTGAGATTATCCCAACCTCTGCACAGCATTTCAGAAAATCCCTGGCCACACAGGTAACTTCACTTCCTACATCCCCGCAGCCACCTGGAAGCTCAGCTGGGTGAGTGGAATTCACACCCCACACCCCCACTACCAAAACAGTGAAACACAAGCTGGATGGAATAAAACCACTAATTAATCCCTCTAAATCAGTTTGCCACGAACAACAGCACACCGGCATGCAATCCAATCAGTTCCAGCCATGGCAGGGGGGTTGAAACAAGATGATCTTTATGATCCTTTACAACCCAAAGTGTTCTGTGATTCTGTAATTCCATTATTGCATCCTGCCGGCAGCAACTATGCCCCGCCAAACGCTATGCTACCTTAAAGAGCTTCACTGTTATTTAAAATAGCGCCGAACCACCCTACCAAGAGATACAGTAAATAAGTAACGAGTAAATAACAGCTACTGACGTTTTTATCACACAGGTGTAAATTCAGTTATCGGGAAAGGGGAGGGCTCGCACTATTTTTGTTCTGACATCAAGGCTGCTCGGGGTAAACTGTCATGCAAGCCTGTAATTATTTGGGAAATAGAAACCCTAAAATACAAAAGCATTCAAATAAAAACGTATCAGCGATGGCAACACACTTTGACTAGCAGGAAACTGAATTTCAGCCTGGCGAGAGCACCGCGAGTACTACGGGAGCGATTCGGGCTCAGTTCCTTAACCACCACACAAAGTCTCTTCCCGCTCCCCCTGCACCCCGCTTTCCACGCTCGGCCCCGAGGCACGGAGACAACTTTTCAGGGATGCGGGGGGCAGAGGGGGTGTGTGCCTGGCACGGGGGCTGTCCGAGCCCACCCGTGCCGGGGGTGCCGGTGCTCGGGTGGGCTCCGGGCGCCGTGCGCGGACCGAGCCCCGCGGACCGAGCCCCGCGGACCGAGCCTGGGCCGGACCGAGCCCCGCGGACCGAGCCCGCTTTCCACGCTCGGCCCCGAGGCACGGAGACAACTTTTCAGGGATGCGGGGGGCAGAGGGGGTGTGTGCCTGGCACGGGGGCTGTCCGAGCCCACCCGTGCCGGGGGTGCCGGTGCTCGGGTGGGCTCCGGGCGCCGTGCGCGGACCGAGCCCCGCGGACCGAGCCCCGCGGACCGAGCCTGGGCCGGACCGAGCCCCGCGGACCGAGCCTGGGCCGGACCGAGCCCCGCGGACCGAGCCCGGGCCGGGGGCAGCGGCGGGGCCGGGGCTCCTGTGGGGCCGGAGCGCGGATCGCGGATCGCGGCGGTAACATGGCTGCTTTCCTACCGAATTACGAAACCGGCTGAGGGCGCGGGATTACCGGGGAGAGCCGGCCGGGGGGACCTCGGGGCGCGGTGCGGCGAGAGGATGGGAACGGAGGGGGTGATGACGGCGGCAGGAGGATGCGGGGAGCAGTGAGTATTTGGGGCGGGGGGTCCCTCCTCGTGCCGGGGCTGCTGGAGCCGAGCGAGCCGCCGCAGCAGGGAAGGACCCAGCTCCGAACCCAGCGGGGAACCCGCAACCACGGCCCGACGGGACGCGCCGGGCACCCCCAAAAACAAACAATGGACAATAACACCGAGCGGAGGCGGCGGCCGGGAGGGACCCCCTCTGGCCGGCCGGAGCCCCCTCGCCCCCTGCCCGCGGCGGGACCCACCTTGCGCGCCGTGCGGGCCGTGCTCCATGGCCGGGTCGCTGCCCAGCTCGGCCAGGCGCCGGCCGGTGGCCGCCAGCTCGGCGCGCAGCGCCGTCACCTCCTGGCCCGCCGCCTGCAGCGCCCCGTCGATGCGCAGCGCCAGCTGCTTGTTGTCGTCCATCATGTGCAGGATTTTGGCCTGGGGGGAGGGAGGAAGAGGAGGAGAGAGAGAGAGGTGAGAGAGGGAGCGGCGGGGGGG